ATGTGGACTTCAAACAAATGTTTATTACTGCTTAATGGGGCCAAATGGGCAACACAATGCATTGAAAACATCACTGGCTCACAAAACAGTCACCTCGCTACCTTCTTGGTTGCAGTTGTTTATTTCACAAGGCTTCATTCACACATGAAAACAAGATACTACTCCAATTCAAGTTCATGACAATTATAAAAGTAAACATTTGTTGGGACAATGTACAATAAATTGCACTTTCCTTAACAAGCATTACATTTACATTTATAGTGTACTATACATAATACATGGAATTATGGAAACATCTAATTGGTCATTGTTTATAGAGGAAGMGGCTAATAACTAATTTTTTTTAGTCAATTAGCACTGTTCACACTTAAGTCATTTATTATATAACCTGCTTTCATTACAGATGCTGTGGGCAAAATCACAAGTTTCATAAAAATAGATAATATAGAATTTCTACTACCTCCTCAGCAAGGGGAAGGTAGGAGTTGGAAAGAAGGGGGGGGATCTGATGGAGAAACTTCTCCTCTCATTTGAACTGAGTATCCATGCATTATGCAAAATACCAAAAATAGAGAAACTGATGCAAAAGGCTATTGGGACATCTTGGATTCTGGGACCATCTCCAGCTTTGTTCTTGTGCTTTCATGATACCAGAGTCCTTTGATGCATTTATATTCTCACAATTCAGTTTCCTTTATCTTATTCCATATATAATATATAGTTATTAAAAGTTACATTTAATGGAAAAGATTTTACATGTTAAATGGAAAAGGAAAGTAACWTAAAATGTTCATTATCTTCTCTGATTAATTTTTCTTAAACTTTTCAGAACATAACTAAGGATAAGCCAGGGACTGGGTAAGGAGAATGGGATAGACAGATGAAGATATTTTTATAGCAGGTAGCAAATTCATTTGGAGATAAGCTTGACTTGGGTCTTTTAGATGGAAAGTGAGAAAGAWACACCAGACAGCTGTTTGCAGTCACTAAGATCCCACAAACATCCACTTTTTTCCTTACTATAAAAATTAGCATCAGTCACATGGCAGTCCTCATTTTGATAGATTCTGACAGTCAGGGAAGTTGCTAAGATGAAGAAGGACCTGGCCTGTATTACATAGAAGAAATAAAGAGATGGGGAATGTTTTCATGCTGGTGACTAGCAGCATGGTGACTTAGGAGTTTTACACGTCATAGCTGGAAAACTGGCCACTCCCTGRCCTTGTGGTCTTGATCACATGTCTTGTTATCTCAATATGTATTAGATGAATGGTATCTAACTACACAGAAGAGGCAGGAATACTCCAATTAAAATTCCACCAATCAATCTCTCACACACACATAAATCTAGCAGTGTTCAAATCATACAATTCATCCTCTCATTTGTAACTGAAGTAAGAGAATCAGAGTTATTTTAGAGTGTTTTAAAGGGTAAATTATATAATAYAATCATCTTGCTAAGTAATTAAAAGTGTTCTTTCCCAGAAGATAAAATAAGTATTTTTTTTCTCTTARAGGAGTCCTAAAAATCAGACAGCCACCTTAGTGTTTAATGCACAGAGTTGGTAAGACAGTAGACTGATTTCAACTAAAAGTTCAATCCATCACATTAGTTATGTATATATAATTCTTATCCTAGGTGACTGACTCCTTTAAGGATCTAACTCTAATCTCMTATACCTTAACCTTTTATTATCTCAGTTTACTCACCACAGCTAGGAAATGAAGTCACTAATTATTAACTAGAAAATATCTGAAGAATGTGTAGTAGAGGTTGGAGAAAAATAAATATGAATACAGAGTAGGAAAGAATGAACCTTTTCTTATCAAYGAAACAATAAATACCATTAAATATCCCAACATCAGTATAAAGGTTGCTTTTCTACTTTACCAGGAAAATTTTAAGAAAGCCAGTGAAGAAGAAATCATCATCAATTAATAGCTAGAAGAGAGAAAGAGAAATTCATTGTATGGCAAGGCAGGTCACAGCCTGTATAGCATCTTTATCAGTGTTTCTGATAGGTAACTAGGATTTCTTAGCATCAAATTCTATGTACCCAAATATAACCAAATTGTGACATGGCTGCTGGCAAACATGCACTACAGAATTTAAAAACCAGCTTGGTTTCTTTCAGCTTTAAAGAATGTGTTAAATAARATTCTTAAGATATAAAAGCTAATGAACTAAATTACTGAGTTGAATTTTATTCACATTCTTCTACAGAATTTAATAAAAAGAGAAATGATCATTTTTCAAATGTTGCAAATACTGGATTTTTGCAAGAATGTTTTATACAAAGTACAGCCTAAGAAAGGATGAGAATTATTACACTATTTGAGAATGTCCTATATATTTGGCTGCTTTGTAAAGGGAATTCAAAAGAAAGGTTATAGTTCTCAAATAATACACTGTAAAGGACATGTGGTTTGCAGTATTGCTATAACATATTTTATGAACAATCATATCACATACCAAAAATTTTAATTTTTCTTTCCCATCACCCGGTCACCCCTCACCCCTGTAATGGGAATCAAACCCTGGGCCTCATGCTAGGCAAGCACTCTGCCACTGAGCTTACTGCCCCCCTACCCCCCCCAGCCCTTTATTTTTTGTTTAAAGACAGGGTCTCACCAGGTTGCCAAGGCTGGCCTCAAACCTGCCATCCTCCTGCCTCAGTCTCCCAGGTGGCTGGGATTACAGGTATGTGTCACTATGCCTGGCCATTTCTAATCTTCACTATTGCTACWAATTCAAAGGTATTGCAGTGAGGGTCATCTCAGACTTGCCACACCAATATACATACCCAGTTTGATGTGGGGATGTAAAATAAGAAAACTGTGTATCGACCTTATAATCCTTTATAAGAATTAAGACTAGAAAGACAAATTTACCAAACTTTTGGAATGCATGCTCCTGGYGATTCTGTTCAAAGACTAAAAGGAACAGGACTAAAAACTGAACCAGGTCCACAGACAAGGACTTGACTTAAAGCCTTCTACTTCTCCTGTGACATTTAAGAAAAATTATGCAACTTGGTATTCTGTGGAATGTATTTATTTCTGAAGCTAAAAAGAGCTTGTTGTTACTATGAAGTTCACGACATAAGAGTATCTGCAATTTGGCTGGCCATTTGCAAAGGCAACTTGTATAGGGCTTCCTGGAACCAAGCATAAAGTACCACTTCAGCTAACAGACTCCACTAATGATTTACAGAGACAGGTGCCAAGATGAAATTTTTTAGCCATTATATTTTACACAAAAATATATATATATTAGCTTATCTAATCCACCAYGTAGGGGATTTTAAAGTCAACAGACACTTGGAATGCTGAGTTATTTTCCTTTTTGGTAAAAAGAAATGAATTTTATAATAAAAGGCATCAGAACAATAACAACAAAAAGAGTTCCAAAGAAAAGTATTATTTGACAAGTGTCATGGATACCAAACATAACAGTTTTATGTTGCAGATGATAGAAACAGATGAAGGGGATTTCACTTTTTAGAATTCAAATATCATTCTAGAGGAAAGGATCTGTGGTGAGCAGCTTGTAGTGCATCCTCCTAGGATTGAGAAGGTTCTTATTTGATTCTAACTTTCAAGAGTTGTGTTCCTTATAACTGCAATATATGGCACAGAAGAGAACCACTCTGGCACTACAAAGTTTAAGATCCTTTAAAAACAATATATCCAACAAAGAAGCCAAGGATGAATATCAGTAAACATTACTGTACATAGCTGACAGTAGTTTTGTTGGTGTGAAAGGATCAGATATCCCCAAAATAGCTTAGAAAATGGGAAAATTACTTTTGCCCTTACCAAAGAATTTCTTGTAAGGACTATTTATATAGGTATGTTAAATATAATTTTWAAAAATATTTCCACCAATTTTAAACAATAGCCTTATCTTTTGTTAGATAAGTATTTCTATAAAGATTTTGTATTCAATCAAAAATGTTATAAATGCATTTGTATCATCATCTACAGGTACCAAGGGCACATACTAGGGAGCTACAGCAGTGAGGAAATGTTGCCTAACATTAACTAAGGTGATGAAGCTGACCTCGATTTCTATTTCAATACTATGTCCTCTAACAAAATTATAGAATATTAGTGTTTCCTTAGTAACTATGTCAACATCAAACGAAAGAACTCTGTTGCTGGTTCTGTACTTCACTATAAGCACAGCAACTGAACCTGGGCTTTTCTCCAACTCTCCGGTGAAGGTTCCCTAAGTGCAACTCACAATARCCACCCTTGACTGGACACTCGCCAGAAGTCTCATCTGTGTTCATACCTAGCCACACTAGGAACACGCAAGTCCCTTGTGGATTTTTGAAAGGATCTRCTAGAACACCAGAGCCAAAATGACTTTACTCCACATTTGTCAAAATCTCAGTTCACTCACTGAGTTTGCATTCTCAATAGCCCATCCATTCCACAGTTCTTGGCACTTCAGAAAATGAAACATGAAAGAAAATGAAAATAAACCAATTATCTTTGGGGACTTTTCAACCCCTGGTCTGTTCTTGCATTGGGCAGGAGTATCGCTCCCTGGTTTTAGGATGAAACCTGACAGTGGTCATGACTGGCCCCACAGTGTGCTTTATCTGAATAAATCCTGAAAAGCTAAAGAGGTTTAGGTTTCAATTTTTTTTTCCCTGTGACAAAGATCTTCCTATCACATCAACCTTSGAATGACAGATGATTCCATTTTTGTAGGATAAAATTATTAGGAGTAATTAATTAGTTCTAAATAAAAAGCACTTAGTTCTGAATTACTTATTTCCAACTAAACATCAGGCATATAAAATAATGTGTAATACTAGGATGGATCAGAACATGGCTTCCCAGGAAGAAGCTGGGCAGTAGGTATCCAACATAAATCGGGTCAATTTAACTAACATCCCTTTGAAAAGTGTCATACAGGAAAGAATGAGAGCTACTGAAGGATTCTGGCTTGCTTTCTGGCCTCCTTTACTTTCCTTCAAAGGGACACCGGGAAGATGGCTCCCGGGTTTCCGTTGCTTTGATCGTTGTGCTCTTGTGCTGGGGTGAGGCTGGAGCTATGTGCTCTCCTTMGGCGGCTGGGTGGCCTGAGGCGGCTGCAGTGGCTGGGTGCTCGTGGCCGTTTTGATAGAGTTCAGGGTTTTGCTAAACCAAGAGTTTTTTGCAGCTTGGATTTCATTCATAAGGGCCCCTCTCTGATGTTCAAGTTCCTAATTAAAGAAAGAAAATCATCTGAGTATTAAATGAAGAGTGCAGTTTTTTGGTAATTCCCAGGTCTCTGTAGCCAAACTATTCTTCCCTCAAATCCAGGAAAAATTTAATCAGCTTCTTAATGGAAAGAAAAAGTTTCAAGCTAGAAGAGTTTCTACTGAAAATCAAATCTGTCCTTTCTCTGAACTGTGAAAAGAAACCTTGTTATATTCTTTCTTTTCCCCTCTGCCCTTAGGTCCAAATTTAGGTTTAAGATGCAACCCCAGATAACATGTTTAAAATCACAAATAAATATGAACATTAGGACAGAAAGGATTTATACTACTAGCATAAGCAGAATGAGTTCCATTTCCAAAGACATGGCCTTTGTCCCTGAGAACACACAGGGTCCAGAGCAGAGACATCCTTARCAGAGGACCCTAATGTGACACAGATTAGTGCCACATAGGCATGGGGGGGGGGCGTTGGCGTTAGGATCATTGGTAAAAAGGAAATGAGGAAGAGTCCATCAGAACTTACACTCTTTTTCTAATCATGTTATTTTCTAATATGGAGTGAGGAAATGGCAAAATCAAGATAAAAAGAAGCTCCAAAGAAAAGAAGGGGTATGAGCCAATGTTAGGGGCTGGCGGAGAGACTTGGCTTTCATTTTCACGATCAGCTTCTAAAGTGACCAAATTCATTGTGMCAGGACATGAGCAAGAGATCTAACGATAAACTGGAAAATTGTGTTAATTACAAAAAGTTCCTTTAGATTATGTGTTTGTTTATATCAGTGTGTAAAGATACATGGCACACAATGTGATCATGTAGGACACATCAGTGGGTAGAACTCATCTGCAACGTATCCAGTGACAGCTCGTGACTCTGACTTAGCACCTGAGCCCCTGCCTGTGATTCTTCCCGTTGATCTTTTACCAACCAACCTGGATTTTGCACTTGGCCTCTACCAGCTGCAGTTTGGTTTGTGCCAGTTCCAGCTCCATCTCCCTCAGCTGCTTCTTGAGCGAGTCCTTCTCGTCATCTGCTTCAATTCCTTGATCCTCCCTGCTGATGGCTGCTGGTTTCAAAGTGCCCTCCTTGCTGAAAATGTCACTGCAGTGTTTGCATGCCATCATTTTACCCTGAAATAACCAAAAGTGATAATCAACATCAAAATGTATTTCATAGCCAGATCACTTCCTGAAACAATATATGATTTCTTAAAGTCACTGCCCATGGCAGCAGATGCAGTGTCATCTCAGATAACATATATTTACACACACACACACACACACACACACACACACACACACACACCCCACAACCAAAATGGTTACACTCAGTACCAAATCCAGCTATTCAAAACAGGTGTTCTGTTTACAGTTCTGAGGATCAAAACTTGGACTCTGGGTGGGCCAGGCAAGCACTCTAGTACTGAGCTACCTCCCCATCTTCCATTCTTTTTCTTTAAATAGGTGTAGGAAGACTCTAGGAGTATCACAGTCTTCGAAAAATCTGCCCTAGAAATTTTGTGCTGCCATTACTGTTATTAAGTGCCAAGCCCCATACCATATACTCTGCCTGTAGTATTTAATTTAATTCTAGAGCAACTAACTATATGAAGAGGAACAATTCTCAGCCCCATTTTAATACCTATAGAACTCATTAGCATTTAAGTAACTTGTGTATAGCATGCCCAGGACAGTCATTATAACTAACCTAAATCTACCCTCACAATAAAGTAAATGTCCTACTGTTTGGCTTTAAGCAAAGATGACCATCATTGTTTAAGTTGATAAAAATAWCTCTACTATATGCCTAAGTTGCCAATCAAGTACACTCCACTGAGTGACAGCAGTCTTTCCAAAGTTAACAGTGCTGTGTTTTCCTGAATTACTTCAATAAAATTCAGAAATAAAGATATTACGCACTATTTCTATTTTTATGTCCTACTGTTACGACAAGCTCATTGATTTAAGTTTTCCAATCCAGGTAAGCAGTTGTACTGGATTGAACCAAATGAAGGAATAGACTGGTGTCACAAAAGGGAGGACAACATTTTTGTAGAGAAAACACCACATGCAAAGCTGCAACATCCTGAGGGAACGTCCAGGAATGTACAAGGGCCAAAGCAGAGTGTAAGGGTGAGAGGTAAGAGGTAGTGAGCATTCTCTGTGGCCAGGTTGTAAAGGTCCTGATTTTACCCACAAGAAATGTGTCTCTAGGCTGCACCACGCCCTGTGCCACATGCTGAGCAGCAACAAGCTCCCTGGAGCTGGGGTCCATTGCGGTGGACAGTGCTGAGTCCCACGGGCCACCCATCTGTCCTTCTTCCTCAGGAACAGAACCCTGATTTTATTTGAGCTGGCAATGGGTCCTGATAATTGGTGGCATTTCTCAAATTCCCTTGAAGCTAGGTGTGGCCAGAAACTAAGTTCTGATTCTAACAGAAGTGTGACATGGAACTTCTGAGAAGGCTGCTCAGAGACACACCCCCACTGCAGCAAGGCCCTTATATCCTTGTAGAATCAAATTCTGCCATGGGGTGTGAATGTGAAGCAGAAGCTCCAGTTGACAGGTGTGGCTTGTAGGTGACCTGAGGGTGGGTGCCCACGTAGAGGATGTGGTCACTAATGAAGGATGAGGATCACTAATGACAACCAAGGATCCACCTTTCTAGTCCTTGACCACTTTTACTTAACATAATCACTACCTTTTGTGTGTAAGCCAATGTGGGGGGCCTATCTGTGGTCCAAAACTGACATGCATCGTGATATGGCCAAACTTATACTTGGGCGTGCTCACTCTGATTACAGTGGAAAGGATGAACTGGAGCGGTGGTAGTGATCAAGAGGGTTGTTAGAGGAAGCTGGATAAACCAGAAGCTAACACATCATGCCAAATGAGGTGAAGAAGAAGCACCCTAGAGAAAGGGGAGGTAGAACAGTCTAAGAATGTGGACTTGAGTCTGATGCCCTGGGTTCAAGTCCTGGTACCACATACCAGGGTATAATCTCAATCAAAAAGAATCRCCTGTTTGGGGCCTCATCATTAGTAATAACAAATTGTGCCTATTTTCTAGGGTAGTTATGGGGTTAAGTGGATAATACACGGAAAGTATCAGAACAGTGTGCACAGTAAGGACCAATGAAGTTGTTCTTTATTATGGCTAACTCAGGCTCACCTTCCTCTCCTGGAACATCATGGCTTTCATTAGTAGTCTTACCTACTTATCCAAAATTGTTCTCTGTTGCTTCATAATCAGTTTCCTTAATAAGACATTAAAACACTCTTGAGTTTTCCCTCATGTTTCTGAACCTCTCTCCAACTGAATTCTAACCATCCTGTTTAAATCCACCTTTCTCCATAAAGTTTCCTTTGGTCTGCAGTKCTTATGTATCTGCTTTCCCCACAATTCCGATCGTTGGTTAATCCAACTCAGCACTCTTGACCTGTTTTCCAAACATTCCATGTAAGTATATAACTTATCTTACAGGAAAGTTCTATGCTCCTGTTTCTGTGTAATTTCTGTAACAAAATGGTGGCCTAATACCTGTGCACAGAGAGATGCTCAATACAATCTTTACTGAGTGACCAGTGTAAATCCTTGTTTCATTTTTATTTCCATAAGGACTGAAGTTCAAGATAGCTGGCCCTTTTATGGCAAGACACTTTATCAACAATCTGTCAGTAGGCCTATAACGTACAAATCACAATAAATACTAAGTAGAAGGAATTAAAAAAGACCAGAAAGGGAAGATATGACTCCCAAATTTTAACAGGTTTAGAGAGAGCTCTCTCCACCAACCCTTTACTTACCAACAATCTCAGATGGATATTTTGTAACATAAAATAAGAGAAAAAAGTTTCTGAAAATACCAGAATGAGGTTTTCCAAATTTTAACTTAAAAATATTATTGTAGGGGGGCTGGGGATGTGGCTCAAGTGGTATCGCGCTCGCCTGGCATGCGTGCGGCCCGGGTTCGATCCTCAGCACCACATACCAACAAAGATGTAGATCGGGCCGAGAACTAAAAAATAAGTATTAAAAATTCTCTCTCTCTCTCTCTCTCTTAAAATTTCTCTCTCTCTCTCTCTCTCTCTCCTCTCACTCTCTCTTTAAAAAAAAAAAAATATTATTGTGGGGCTGGGGATGTGGCTCAACGGTAACGTGCTCGCCTGGCATGCTCGGGGCGCTGGGTTCAATCCTCAACACCACATAAAAATAAAATACCGATGTTGTGTCCACCGAAAACTAAAAATAAATATTAAAAAATTCTCTCTTTAAAAAAAAATTCTCTAACAACAACAAAAAAATTATCGTAGCCAAGTAGGAATCTAAGCACTTTGTATACATTATCTAATTCAATCTTCATTATGAGGTCGGCAATGTTATCTCTATTTTACAGAAGACAAAATGAAGATTAGAAAGGCAAATAACTTTTCAAAGTTGTTAAGCTATATGCTAAATTGCCAAGAACACATTTGCTAGTATGACTTGAATATATTCAAATAGGAGCATGTCAGATTTCTGGGACAGTAGGGAGGGCGGGTAGCACTCGCCTGTAATCTTAGCTACTTGGGCAGCTGAGGGAGGAGGATTTTAAKTTCAAGGCCAACCTCAGCAACTTAGTGAGACCCCAACTCAAAACAAAAAATAAAAAGGGGCTGGGCATATGGTTCAGTGACAACGCTTGCCTAGCAAGGCAAAGTACAGTCCTGGTATGATCAGCAGTAAGTCCATTTTCTGAAGAATAAGCAATCACCTTTTTTCMAAGAGAGCCCTAACATAGGGAGTTCTACCACCAGGGGGCAACATAAAAATAGATGCTACTGTTTTGTTTTTTTTAAAAAACAAACCACTAAAAATTTGGTTGAGGGGCTGGGATTGTGGCTCAGCGGTAGAGCGCTCGCCTAGCACGGGTGGGACTTGAGTTCGATCCTCAGCACCACATAAAAATAAAGGCATTGTGTTGTGTCCATCTACACCAAAAAAAAAAATAAATAAATAATTTGGTTGAAGAATGAGTCAGTTATGAACATGTTTTCCAGCTGAATTCTATAGTGTCACAGTGCTCACTGTTCAAGAGAGTGACAGGATGATCCTACTGAGTCCCAAACTGAAGCTGCACCATTCAGACACAGGTGGTCTGCTCGGGACTCCCAGGCCCCACCTTATACCAAAGCCACATGGCTYAGGGGCCTCTAGTGACAGTGGTCAAACCATCTTTTCCTTCCTGGTACCAGCTTCTGCCTTCCTGTAAGATTTGTGGAGCATCACCTGTCACCTGGTCAAGAAGACAGCTGTACCCCAGGTCAAAGAGAGATACACTACTCTTCACATGTTGAAATCCTTTAATACCAAATGGGGAAGGCGACTTTCAGGTACGTGCAAGACCAAGTGTGGAGCAGAGATGGTCCCGGAACTGGCTCCCTGCTTACCTTCACAGCTTCCAGCTCCTCCTTGCTGGCTGCTTGCTGTTTCTCCAGCCGGGTACTTAACTGGGAACAGATCTAAGGCAAATAAAAGAGGCTCTTTACTAGATATGTCTGCAGTGAGCACATGCACACATCTGCTTAGCAACCCATAAAGGCCTTGAGCAGATCTGCTCCTAGAAGAAATCTTGCAAATGAGCAGCCCTGCAAATGCCGGTCACTTTTGAAACAAGCAACAGAAGCCTGGGCATCTCYTGCGGAGACTCTTGTCTTCATCCACAGAAACAAGACACTGGCATAGATTGGGTTTCTTGCTATCACTAGCTTTCTGTGATGAGTTCCAATGAATTTTTGGCCTTGCTGAGTATCTACTTTGTACAAATTGATGAAAAGAATTTTGAACCAGGAACAGTTCCTACAGCTCCCATCCAGCCACAGAAAAAGTCTCTTTCCAATCATTAGTTTCCTTAAGTAGCAGCAGGGTGAATAAAAGTTACAATTATTAGAAAATGAAACTGATTAAAATAAAACTCTGATCAAGAGTTTGGGAAACAGCACAGAAATTAAAAGCTCCAGAGCCAGTGCGGTGGTCCATGACTATAATCCCAGTGATTTGGGAGCTTTGGCTTTAGCGAGGCACTAAGCAACTTAGTGAGACCCTGTCTCCAAATAAAATGAAAAGCTTCAATACTGGAGTCRAACTGTGAGTTTAAAGCCCATCCAGCTCTACTACTTATATCTATGTACTCCTTGGCAAACTCATTCATCTTTCTAAGACTTAGTTCCCTTGTGACTGCACAGTACTGTGCTGTAATAACCAAGTGAGAAAGATGCATGTGAAGGGCTGAGTACTACATGGCATCTGACCAATACAAAGCACCTATGGAGTAAAATCCATTATTATTATTAATTCTGAAATAAGGTGCTGATAAGTACCAAGAACAAGTAGAAATAAGTGCTTTCAAAGGAGAAAATTTCTGCTTAAAAAAATGCATCCCCTCATTGACTAAAATAAAAATCTTTTAAAAAAATGGATAAAAATAAATTAAAAAATAAAAAGAAAACAATAAAATAGAAAAATGGATGAGAAACAGGGGATGTCAAATTTTAAAGAAGAAATTAGAATAGAAACATGTCTGATCTATTTCTCATCAAAACACATTTATAAAAATCTCATTACTAAAAAATAGCTCAAAGCCAAGTCTTGCTTGTTGAGTTARGCTTCCAATTTCTCCAGATCTAAACCTGGCAAATAATTCATAGGACTGTATTTAAACTGATGTTAAAAAGAAGGGTCTGCTGGGCACAGTGGCACACACCTGTAATACCAGCAACTGGGTAGGCTAAGGCAGGAGAATTGAAAGCTGGAGGCCAGCATGGGCAACTTGGTGAGGCCCTGTCTCAAAACAAAAGATAAAAAGGGCTGGGGATGMAGCTCAGTGGCAGAGCACTTGCCTAGCATATGCCAGGCCCTGGTTTAATCCCCAGCACCACATGCACACAGAAAAAGAAGGGATTTCCCTGCTCATTTGTGTAAACCATCTCCCCTTTTATGTAAACCAAAGCATTCAGAAATAGAATTAGTAACAGCCAGTTCCCACTACAGAATGCATTGGTTATGTTTTATATCCTAATCGTCTTTGAGGAGATGGGTCTGTTGGCTTTTATATTATGGATTCTTACCAGGGAATGTAAAGTCCAGGGCCAAGGATTACTGTTTGAAGAGTGTGGTAGGCTGTGGCCACCTGTGGTGTCACATGACCATGAGGTAATGCATTTGCAGTGATGGCAAGTTTTACAGCCATGGTCTTAAATGCTCCTTTCATTAGTTCATATCTAACCACCATGTCTTAGTTACCCAAAGTCAAAGTGCCTGGATGCCTTCCAGGTTTTCCCTTGTCTAGCAAAAAAAAAAAAGGGCGGGGGGGCTATATTTGACATCTCCCTCTTCTGTTTTCACTATTGCTTATTTTAGTTCAGGGCCCAATTTTTYCTATTTCTCCCTATTTCTTCTCACTTTGTGACATTAGCCTCTCATGGTCTGTGTCCTTGCCTGTGAATCTCTCCCTTTGGTTCCACATTCCTCACTGGGTCAGAGTAGTGCCAATACGTATCCCTGAGCATGCCATTTTCCTGCTTAAAAATTCCTACTACAACAACAACAAAAACTAGACAGCTATGCCCAACCTGAAGACCGTCCTGGATCTGGGCCCCAGCAAAGTGGTGCTTCTCTTCTGTACTCGAATCTCTTACCACATAAAACGTTTTCTGTGTTCACTAGCCTACCTCTGTGCCTTCCATTTCCCTCTTCCCACCATTTGCACCCCATCCTCCACTGTCTCCACATATCCAACTCTCACGCAGCCTTGAAGCCACTCAAGCTATCCCAGCTCTGGAAGGGCCTCCTCATTGCCCACAGGGAGAAAGTTCCTTTCCTCTTATTCTTGCTTAGGTCTGACCTCCCTATGACAAAATAAGCTTCTAGGAGAGAGATTAGATTAATTCATCTTGGGCCCCCTGAATTATTAAGCCTCACAAGTAGCAAGTATAAAATAAGCACATTATTATAAAGGAGTGTAAGAATGCTCTGAAATCTTATTTCTAAGAAATGTTTCATGCATATGAGGAAATCTTATGAAAAGAAGTTCATGATATATGAAGCAGACCAAAGCTACTTCCAAGAAACAGAATAAACAGTACAGCCATCCTGTTTATATACATTATAAATTTATTTATGTAGCAATTTATTTATATAGCATTGCTACATACTCAACATTATAGAGATTATGTAGGTGGCAAGATTGAGGGAGGTTTGTTTTCTTTGTGCTTTTTTGCATTTCCCCAACTTTCTACAAATACATAAATTTCACTTATAGACAAAAACAAAACAAAACAAAAACATCAAACCAGGCATGGCGGCACATGCCTGTAATCCCAGTAGCTCAGGAGGCCGAGACAGGAGAATCGCGAGTTCAAAGGCAGCCTCAGCAAAGGCAAGGTGCTAAGCAACTCAGTGAGACCCTGTCTCTAATGAAAATACAAAATAGGGCTGGGGATGTGGCTCAGTGGTCAAGTGTCCCTGAGTTCAATCCCTGGTATAAAAAATTAAAAAAAAAAACATAAAAGCCAAACTAAAACAGTATGCATTAGATTTCAACATCCTTTGTGAGACAGATGATCTCAGGGAAACCCTTGGATCTGAAGGCAGCGCATGGTATTTAATTAATTCTGGAAACCTGGAATGTGAGGAGCCAACTCGGGTTTCTCAGAACTGAGAGGGCCCTTGCCATGTCCAGCCAAAAGGAGAGACAGCAAGATGTACCTGGAGTAGAATGAGAAGCGTTCTGGGGCCACCCTGGTGACAGGAGAGAGAGAGATTTCCAAGGAGAGCAAGCTCTCTGTTAAAGAGAGAATTTTAAGGTGCATAGTAGAAAGCCTCCCACTAGTGGGGGCCTGCACTGGGTCAGGCCACGTAGCCACAGTGCAAAAAAAAAAGGGCCTCATTCTGTTCTTTGATTGCAAAGGATACATGGATCCCCTAGCTATTGCCATTTGATACAATCACTAAACTTTGCAAAGTGGCAAATGTTCCCAGTGAGATCCATTGTAAATTAGCTTCTCAGTAAGGCAGAAGCTGGATCCCAATGGCAATTATGGTTCCAAACAGTGTTAAACAACCAATGGTTTGTTTGTCAATTAAACCTCCCATGTTACCAGCCAACAGGTCCAATCACTGCCTGTTTTAAGAGAGAGTGAGGCACAGATTTAATAAATTGGAAGACTGTTCTGGAAACTCTAAAAACAAACAAAAAAAAAAAAAAACAAAAGTAAAAGGCAATCACTTTTACAACAACAAAATCCACAGTGGCATAATACCTGTTTATACTCAGCAATGATGGCTGTGGTCTTCTTAATCTCATACTCTGCCTTCTCTAGCTGTTTCCTGAATACTTCTTTTAGCTAGAAAGGAAGGAGAAACAGCAGGATTCAGCAAAAATCTTAATAAATTTCTTAAGACACCTACATTCATGTCTTCTTGGTTCACGGTCAGAGACAATGGTAACAATCACGGCTATGCACATTTTCCTCACTGAAGCTGCATCTCAATAATCTGAAAACCCAAGCATCTCCAGAGACACAGAGATCTTTCTTTTCTGTAAAGAAAAGACATATGAGCCATGCTGTTATAAAGCTGCTTATGCTCACTGCCTGCCTGGTAAGCATATTGCCTCTAAGTGTCCACTTMGACACCGTCTTCATTTTAAGTGTAAACTAAAATATATCCAGGCAACATTGCAGGCTAAGTTTTTCACTCTTGATACTATGTTATAAATTAAGGAGAAAAACYTTGGACCATGTGTTAACAGTCCCGTCTGTCATTGCTCCCTCTCCGAAAGCAGGGTCAAGAGGTTCCGGAGTCGGGAAGAGATGAGATGAGACTCTAGGGAGGGACAGGGGATTCTGGTCTTGAGTTCAGGAGGAGCACAAGCTACACAACCTGCAGGTGCTGACTAAGGTCGCTGAAGAGCTAAATGACCAATGTCATACTCAAAACCACAGTTTTTTTTTTTTTTTTGCTTTTGTTTTTGGCTTTGGGGATGGAACCCAGGGCACTTAACCACTGAGCTAAACCCGCCCTTTTTTGAGAGTGACTCACTAAGTTGCTAAGTTTGTCCTTGAACTTGAGATCCTCCTGCCTCAGCCTCCCAAATTGCTGGGATTGCAGGTGTGCACCACTGTGTCCGGCTACAACCACAGTATCTTGATAGCCCAGAGGCTGTAGAATTCTGGGTACAGAGGAAGACTGAGTGATGAAAAAATTCAGGTGCCACCAGATAAAAAAGAAAGAATTCAATTCTGCCAAGTTGGCCAAATAAACAACAAAAAACAACTCTGGTTGGTCCTAAGTACATAATCAGAATAAAGGGACRAACCCTGGAGAGAAGAATCCCATTTTATTTTCCTGGCACTGGGGATTGAGCCCACGGTTTCATGCTTGCTGCAGGGCAAGCCCTTCACCTATGAGTCACAGCCACAGATCTTTTTTTATTTTTTATTTTGAGACAGGGTCTCACTAAGTTGCCTGGACTGGCCACATACTTGCATCCTCCTGCCTCAGTCCYCCAAGTACCTGGGATTATAGGTATGTGCCTACCATGCCCAGCCCCCAAAGTATTCATAGGGAATATTCTACACTTGCTAATTCATAAATTAATAATTTACAATTGGATTCTATCATTAGAAGATTTCTGAATTTCTTCATATTTGTTACATTCTAAAATCCTAAAAACAACTTGTATTTTTTATACTGCTTCAAATGCAGCTGTTTACAAAAGTCTCTATTCTCTATTTTACATAACATTGGACATAAACAATAACCTTCCCTTCCTGTAATAAGGCCTCACTGACTTTAAGACGACTCAGGCAGCTCAGAGGCTTGGAGCAAGTTTTTCTAAGCCATAGCTTCCTCAGGTGACAAATAAGAGCAAGGTACACGGTACAAGTACCATCATCACAATAACCAAGACAGGGTGAAGGGAAGACACCATGAAGCATCTGGCTTTGCTCTGGCCACACGTAGGCTCTTGCCCCTCCGCTGGGCTGGTGTGTCGCAGAGTGTGGGTTAATTCATTTGCCAATAGTGTCTTCTTCCCTGAAAGTACTAAAGGGGTCAAAGAAAGCCAGAGGTAGAGAAGAAAACAAAACACATCAGGAGGCCTGGAGAATCTATCAGCCCTCAAAGTTTTTTGAGGAAGTTTTTTAAAAAAGAAAAAACTTGGACCACACTAAATGCCAAAGACTCATTTTAACATATTCCAGCAGGGAAAAAACGTCACAGAATATGTTTTATAAGTCCTGGAAGGTGCGAAATGGCACCTCTCTCTATGTGTAACTTTTTTCTGGATGAAAGTCTTTGAAAGGATTTCTATTCTGTTTTATGTTTAGCACTAACTATTAATACCTTAGAATGAAATTCACTAATCATGATTTAAGAAATTTCCTCACTATATAAGGTAGTTACATCAAGCAAGCTCTGGGCGGAGGCAACGGTGGGCGGCCTCTGGGCCTAGGGAAGCAGGAAGCTCCGGCTCCKAGCAGAGGTCCCTCACCCTCACCTGGGCCTGCACTCCTCCTCCACATGAAGACCGCCACTCAYCTGCTCCTGGCTCCCACAAAGAGCACAGGGCACCAGCTTCAACGCTGGCTTCCAGAGGGCTTTTACATTTCCCCAGGGGTTAGGACCCGGAGCTCTGCTGGGAATGTTGAGGCTCCCTTTTCTAAGGCATGAGTCAGAGGAGTTAGGGGGACTGAGGCAGAGGTTTGTAGCAGTCCCAGCAGAGGCCACAGTGGCTTTCAGTGTGACAATGCCATAAAGTGCTTCCCAAGAGTTGATTTTGGATGCAGGACATGAAACTTCCAGATTGTCAGAGCTCTTGGATCACAGCTGCAAGTTACTAAACTCAGAAGACTCAACACTCCTTCGAGATGTCTCAGTGAAGGCACATTCTTGAAAGCTATTGAGAGCAGAAATGCTGCCTCCTCTTCCAATACCCTCAGCACACTTCAACTTCACCCCGACTTGGAATAAATGTCCCTTTTTTTTTTTTTTTTTTTTACAATATTTGTAACTCCCTGCCAATCTCCCGTGTGCAGAAAAGCCTGTGAACACCTTTACCTGGGCAGTCTCTTCCTCCTGCTTCCTCTTCTCCTCCTCAGTCTCCACCAGCTTCTGCTTGGTCAAGAGGAGCTCCTTATTCAACACATCTGCCTTGTCCTCTGCCTGCAAGTCAGGGCACATCACAGCCATAAAGAAGGCGAATATGCGCACGCATACCTTCTCCACACCCTGTCCCCAGGTACTTCTCTACAGCTACCTCAAGTCCTTCCTTTCTTCCCAGCTCACTGCAGGGTTGTGGCGGGGGCTGCTTTCTCTGACCATCTACGTGCCAGGTACTTGGTACACATTATTCCTAATTCTCACAACAACACCTTTACAGCTAATGACAGTGAGATTTGGCTAGACCAAATATATCGTCTGGGGTCACACATCTAAAATGACAGTTATGATCTGAATTCAAATTTGAATGACACCAAAGTCATTCTCTTTCCACACCCTTCTCCCACATTCTCAGATGTGCTTCCAAATGGCAGTGCATGGGGAGGTTTCAGAGAAGGCAAGTGGACAGGTGGGTCCACAGACAGCAATCAAGTGAGAAAACTCGAAGGCCAGGCTTGCAGTTAACTGGCCCACAAGCCGCTCATACTGGTCAGTCAGTATAGCAGGGAGAAATTAAAACCAAAACCCAAGACAGAGAGAGTCGAGTGGGAAACCAAAGCAGAAACCAGACTCCAGGCTGTTTTCAGGGTGCCAGGACGTGCCTGCTGAGAGCAGGCTGGTTCTGCCTGGGACACAGAGCCCTCTGGGGGGTGTGTGTAACTGAGGGGACACTGTCTTATTTACATGCCAGGACCCCCCCGACCTCATCCTCAGGTGCCAGCCACACATTTGCACAGCACTTAAGTGTGACCTGAGACCCACCCTATTCACTGCCATCTGGACCGCCCCCCTGTCCACGCCTCTCCAGACTCCCTGATAGCATGTTAGGACAGCTCCATGTGYGATGTGCGTCTTGCCCACTGCACTCTAACTCCAGGAGGAACCATGTCTCCTCTGCTCTTCACTATTTCCCCAGCACCACACCCACACGGGGACAGGGGCAGGTTTTCCCCAAGTCCTCAGTGAATAAACGAATGTTCCCTAAGTCCCTGCAGAAGCAGCCTGTGTGCAGTGGAGGTGGCAGAGGGCCACAGGACTCCCGAGGCAGAGGAGAGGCAGCTATGTGAAGAAGCCATCCCTGGCTGACAGCAGCCAAAGGTTGTCCAAGAATCATGCAAACTGGCCAGGTGGCTTCTGACTGTTTGCCATATCTCCCCCACGCCCAGATGGCCAGCCGGGCCAGCACAGTCTGCTGCATATTGGCAGAGAGCGCAGCCCTGCTTCTCTGTGCTTGCTGCCAGTTAGGTCCAGAGCCTCCTGGCTCAGTGGTAATAACYCTTGCTTCCAGAGCATTTGGAACTATCGGGTAGTGAAGGTGGAAAAGACTCGATGGCCCTCTAACCCCAGCCCGCTGGTTCAAGGTCTACCGMAGCAGGAGTAGGCAATGCCACCTTGACTTCAGTAGCATGCTTTTTGAATCCTGCAGTATATCCAGCTGTTTTAGTTTTGGAAACCTCTATAAGCAAAGGGGAAAAACACTTCCCTGAGGAACTCTTTTTAGAAACACTTGAACACTCATGTTGAAGGCCCTATTAGTTTTATTTACTCATTTTCTGTTGAACAGTCCTCATTAGGTGTAGCTCAGGCCTCCCTACTCTGACTGTTAGCATAGCTAAACCCGCAGCAACAGTCATGGGTGCTAAGTGAAGAGGAGTCTCACGGTTTCCTAGGAAGCCGCAGCCAAAGCTTCTCCTTAGTGCTGAATAATAAAGTGAGAACAACTGTGCCCATCAAAATAGGATCATATCTGAAATAACCTAAGTTTCCTCTAAAAGCAGGCTTCTGGATCTTTAAACATCCAGCTGCTCCACCTCAAGGTATCTCTCATGTCAAGTGAAAATACTACTAAACAGATAGTTATGTAAATTCTACTTTTGAACCCAAATTATAAAACGTTCCTTATAATTTGACAGTGGGACCGAGTGGAACTCCATCATTTTTAAGTCTTCTAATCACATGTGTATGTCTTAAGATGTCTTACTGATGCTGAGAGCTCAGACTGCAACCAAGGCTCCTGTGACATCAACCTACACGCAAAACAAGCTCTGCCCTGTGTGCCGAGGTTGTGAACCCACTGCCCTGATGAAAGGTTTGGTCAAAATCAGGGATGAGGAGCTTTCAGAAATCAGCCAGGCAGTTGTTCAACTTAAGAGAAAACAAGTACTTATCACCTACAGCTTCTGGTCTGAGAACTCCAGTTAGAAGGAGCTCAGTCTTCAGTTTGAAGGTATCAATTCTCTCTTCTTTTTGTTCCCTGAGAACAGGGAAGGGCAGGGAGGGCCTGAGAGCAAGTAGCATCAGAAATTGAAATGGAGATGTCTTTTTCATTACTAATCTCAGAAATTCTTATTTAAGGAGTCAGAGAGAGATCTTCCTGTCAAAGGGAAACTGACCAGCCTTTGGTGCCTGGTGCCCTGGAGGGTAAAGCCATGACTACAATAAGGGTGAAGAATGCTTGGTTTAGAGAAAGTACCTAATAACCTAGGAGTGTGTGTTTATTTCCCATATTGTCTCAGGTACAATCTGCTTTCATGTCTACTAAATGTTTGCCCAAATTTTGCTGTTTGGGTTGAGAGAAGTGATTTTGGTAAGGTGGGACTCCAAAGAAGGGGGAAGGAGGTGAGGCCGGTGTCCTTCTCAGGTGATGGTGCCCTTCTGTGAGGACCAAGGGCAGGACACCTGAATTGTAGGGATGGCTGTTGGATAGGCACATAAACCTCTGCTGGGGCAGAAACTGCAAAATCAGAGGCTAGGAGGAGATAAGCATAAAGAGCAGTTTTATCTTTCATTTAGATAATTGGCTTCAAAATGGAGGATCTAGATTATCACTACTTTTCTGAAAGAGGGAGTCAAGAGGGAAGAAAAAAGGGAGAAAAGGAAGGAATGCTGRAGTCCTTCCTTTAGGGATGGATGTGGTGCCCACACGAGGCAGTCAAGGATTCAATGATGTCAGGAGTGTCCATAATTGCAGCCATTTCAGACTGACCCACAAAAAGGATTCTCTTGGAGGTGAACTGACTTTTAAAATAACATTTATCTGATGATTAAAGCTATGCATATTATTCTCCTACATAACACCMATATCCCATTGCACAGTGTTTTTCCTATCCCATTGGTTCAAAAATTATTCCAAAAAGATATAGGTACACTATCGTTCTCCCACAATACTGAACATGCACTTTATTTCTACTTTTTATTCTTCTAAGTTACACTGTAGTAAACAACAATCAATGCAGTTTTTTTTTTTTTTACTAAATCGCTACTTTTTAGTATAGCTTTCCAAGATCAAGTATAGTTAGATCAATTTCCTCATTTTTAAATAGTGGACCTAAAATACATGCTTCATGGGCTCATTAAAAAGAGTAAATGAGATAATGCTTATAAATAGCTACATATAGTGGTTAGCACATACTAGGCACTCAGTACAAAATTAATTTTATAAAAGGGATAAAAATAGGAAAATAAGAAGTCAAATTATCACTTTTTGCAGATAATATGATCCTATTCTTAGAAGACATAAAAAAAACTAGAGCTAAAAAACACATTCAGCAAAAATAGGAGGTTATGAAAATCAACATTAAAAAATCCATGGTTTTTCCATGAACCAACAATGAATCTRCTGAGAAATAAATCAGGAAAGCAATTCCATTCACAATAGTCTCAAAAAAAAATACCTAGGAATAAATCTAACAAGAAGGTGAAAGAACTCCACAATTAAAACTATAGAACTTTGAAGAAAGAAATTGAAGAACACCTCAGAAGATGAAAAGACCTTCCATGTTCATGGACAGGCAGAATTAATATTATTAAAATGTCCATACTACCAAAAGCAATACACAGACTCAATGCAATCCTCATCAAAATACCAATTACCTTCTTCACAGAACCACAACAACAACAACAAMMAMAMAAAAAAAAAACAGTCCTAAAATTCATAAGAAAAAACGACTGAGAATAGTCAAAGCAATTCTAAGACAAAAGAAGCAACGCTAGAGGCATCATAATACCCGACTTGAAATTATACTACAGAGCAATAGTCACAAAACTGCATGGTACCAGCATAAAAACAGACACATACACAATGGTRCAGAATAGAAGACACAGAGAAAAGCCCACACATCTACAAGGAACAGTCATCTGTTCCTTGACAAAGGTACCAAAAGCCATGCACTGGGAAAAAGACAGCCCTTTTTTGGGAGGGGAGGAGGATACCAGGGATTAAACTCAGGGGCACTTAACCACTGAGCCACATCCCCAGACCTTTTAAAATATTTTATTTAGAGACAGCATCTCACTGAGTTGCTTATGGCCTCACTAAATTGCTGAGGCTGGCTTTGAACTCTCCATCCTCCTGCCTCAGCCTCCCAAGCTGCTGGATTATATGTGTGCACTACCGGGCCTGGCTCAAGACAGCCCTTTTAGCAAATGGTGCTGGGAAAACTGATTATTCATATGTAGAAGAATGAGACTAGATCCTTATTTTTTACCCTATCATAAAATTCAACTCAAAGTGTATTAAAGATCTAGGAATTAGATCAGAAACTCTGTAAATCCTAGAAGAAAACATGGGTCAACACTCCAACATATAGGCAGAGGCTACACCTTTCTCAATAGGACCCCYATAGATCAGGAAATAAGGCCAAGACTAGGATGGCATCAAGTTAAAAAGCTTCTGCACAGCAATGGAAATCATTAGGAAAATGAAGAGAGAACCTACAGAATGGGAGAAAATCTTTACTAGCTCCTGGATTAATATCTAGAAATTATAAAGAACTCATATAACTTTACACTCCAAAATCAAATAACCCAATTAATAAATGGGCAAATGAATTAAACAGACACTTTTCAAAAGAAGAAATACAAACGGCCAATGACTATTGAAAAAATGTTCAACACTGTTAGCAGTTAAGGAAATGCCAATCAAAACTACAGAGATTTCATCTCACGAGTCAGAATAATGGTCATCAAGAATACAAATAATAATAAATGCTAGAGAGAATATGGAGAAAAAGTAATACTTTTACATTGTTGGTGGGACAGTAAATTAGTACAACTATTATGAAAATCAATGCGGAGGCTCCTCAAAGGACTAGGCAAGGAACCACCATATGACCCAGATGTGTCACTCCTTGATACTTATCCAGAAGAATTAAAGGCATCATACTATAGAAATAAATGCATACCTGTGTTTACAGCAGCACAATTCACAATAGCCAAATTATGGAAACAGTTGAGGTGTCCATCAATAAAGAAAATATGATACACACACAATAAAGAAAAATGAAATTATGCATTTGCAGGGAAGTGGATAGAATTAGAGACCATTATGTTAAGTGAAATAAGCCAAACTCAGAAGGTCAAGAGTCTCATGTTTTCTCCATGCRTGGAAGCTAGAGAGGGAAAAGAAAAGAAAGGTAGGGGTGGATCTCATGAAAATAAAAGGGAGATCAGTACAGGAAAGGGACCAGGGAGTGGTAAGAGGTGAAGGAGGGAGGGGCAAGTGCTGGGAGCGATATTGGCCAAACTGTACTTCACACTGTGTGCATGAATGAATATGTAACAATGAATCCCACCATTATGTGCAACTATAATGAGCCAATAATAAATATGGAGAGAGAAAAAAATTAAATCTAAAAAATTAATTTTATTATTTGCTTACATCTTATTACAAGACTTAACAGGTATCACCAAATACATTTCTCAAACAACTTTCAAGCTCTCTTCACTTCATTGCGCCCCTCTGAGTTCAATTCCTTACATTTTTTTTTTCATTTAGCCATCTTAAGAACATTATCAGTGGTCAAAGATTCAACCTGGCAGATTTGGGGGTGAACACTGTTTGGGAAGCTAATACAGAGCCCAGACTAGCACTGCAGTATGTGGACAGGCTGAGGCTGGCCCTGCTGGGACCCTTGCCTTGGTGCTGGGTCTTGGTCACACTTCCCTCATCTCATTTCAATCAACTTCCACATGGAATTTGTGATTAAAAGAACCAAATTTTTTCAAATGGACTACTGTTCTATTTCTATGTCCCAAACAGCATAGTTGTTCTGCTTTGTACCAACTACACCTGGAGGCTAAAGGTGTAGCTCAGTGGTATAGTGCTTGCTCAGCATGCATGAAGCCCTGTGTTTAATCCCCAGCACAGAAAAATAGAAATCAAACTTCCTTTAGTGCTGACCGCCTCCCCTTCCCCGCGCAGCTTCCTTCCTTCCTTATTAGCACCATTTCCTCAATATTTATGTTTATCTCCCACCTTACTATGGTCAAAGCTTTTGAGCTAAAAAATTAGCTGTTTATATGAGGAAAAGATGTGACAGAAACTACTTCTACCAACTTTATTTTTATTCATTTATTTTTGCAGTGCTGGGGATCAAACCTAGTGCTTTGAGCACAAGAGCTCTACCAGTGGGCAACACCACATGYTTCAATTATGAACACATAAGCAGATTATGTTATCAGTGGACTTGTGTTTTAAATACTGTCAATGCAAAGTTAAAGCACAGACAATGACTTTTTCTTTCCTTCAACAGTCTAAGTCTCAATTTTTCTTTTTTTTTTTTAAGAGAGAGTGAGAGAGGACAGAGAGAGAGAGAGAGAGAGAGAGAGAGAGAGAGAGAGAATTTTTTAATATTTATTTTTTAGTTCTCGACGGACACAACATCTTTGTTGGTATGTGGTGCTGAGGATTGAACCCGGGCCGCACGCATGCCAGGCAAGCGYGCTACCGCTTGAGCCACATCCCCAGCCCTAGTCTCAATTTTTCTAACCCTGCACCATTGGCAATATTTATTTTTTAGAAGTAAAAAAAAAAAAAAGAGTAAAAATTCTAAGTCTGCACAAGACTGCTTCCACCTTGCCAATCATCTCAGGAAATGCTAGCAGTAGCAACAGGAAGTTCTAATACTGTCAACATTTTGGGAATGAACAAGGGAAGTTATAGCATTAGAGATCTCTTAGCAATAGCGAAGGTTTGTTGAACACGTACTATAAGTGCTTTAGCTTAACTCTCACATCTTCCCTCCAGGGTAGACACTTTTGCACCTACGAGCAGCTAAAGGACTGCCCAGGGTCACATGGTTGGCAAGTCGGGGGTGCCAAGAGATTCACGTGCAGGCTCTCTAGCTCTCAGCCACTAAGATGCCTGCCAATTCGACAATCCAACATTTAATGCTAGCACTTCATGTAAAACTTCACATTTATTATTGGAACAAGTAGCAAGGTGCCTACGATGTCAGGGTGGCAATAGTATACTCTGCTACTCTTTGGTAATTATGTGGGCGCTTTTGGTTTAGAAAAATACTGATAAAGARAAGAGATGCTAGAGAAATTCAGAGGTATAAAAATCAGTGTCACACATGCCTTTTGGAAATGAGCCACCCATTCTCAAAGGTGAGGGGTTTCCRCTCTCTCCAGTTAGCACGAGCTGCCCTCCCCCCAGCCAGCCACCATCCATCTACCAGGCAGCACACTCAACAACAGCGAGCCTGGGAATGCGGTGAGAACTACCTGGTCCTCCCCCTTGAGGAAGTTACTCTCAGGTCWACCTCATGAGTGACAGATTTACCTGATCCAAGTCATTCCGCAGAGCGATTTTGCTGGTTACCAGTTCATGGGCGAGGTCATCATTCTCCTGCTCCAGCCTCATGCTGGCCTCCTGTAATCTTCGGTTCTCCCTCTGTACAAAAAGAGCAAGAGCCAGAGGTGGGCATGAGTGCCTGCAGGCACCAGCAGAAATGGAAGCAGAAGCAACTGGTGAGGAAAAACAAGCAACACCAACAAAGTGAACTTCCAAAGGTGTAAAAGGAGAAGGCGCAGTGGCACAGGGAGGCGGGCCTCTGCCTGGGCAACAGCAGCGTCTGGCTAGCGGTGCGGCTGCGGAACTCTACCCGGTGCAGCTTGCAACTGTCCTTTACGCCCCCCAGACTGACTCATCATGAAATGTGGACCACAAACAGCAGTGTGTCCAAACATACCCGCGATCCCATGAAGTTCCCACACAGACCTAGAATGCAGACGACAAGCAATTCTTGGACACATGCACAATAACTCCACCCTGGACCTGACGAGAAATGGTAAGACGCAGCAGGGATGACACTAGACATTTCTCCAAATTGTTTTCCAAGATCTGGGTYCAAGATGATTGAGAATATTTAAGAACACTAAATCAAGAGTCTAGATACTTGGGCTTGTGACTTGMTATCAGCTGATATTTTTTATTCTGTGAGTGACAGCACATTGACTTTTCTGAATACAATCTACTTTTGTGTTAGTAACAATAAGAGTCCCCCTAAAAAGTCTTCTAAATATCTATTTTGCTCCTTCAGATTAAAAAGACTCTGGATAAAATAAATTACTAAGCTGGGATCCTTTCCCCCCATTAAAAAATAAAAAAAGTTTTTTCATTTTTTTCTGCTCCCAGAAAAAAATCTGAAGCAAAGTTATATGATGAAAGAACCAAGTGTCTGATGCTTATGAACTAAGGTCTCCCCTTCACTAGAGGTTGTGAGTCTGCTACGTTTATATCTAGTCCCAGAAGAGCAGTTTAGTGCCTTCTACTCTAGAGTGTCAGCACTGCTTTCTTTGCTACTGTTAGCAATTACAATTACAAGCAAGTCAAAACAGAGCTGACAGGAAAGACTTGATGTGACAAAACCAAGTTTAGATTTACACTTCTAACCCCCCCCTTTTTTTTCTGCAAGGGAGGTAGAAGCAGACAAAGCACTGATGAGAGGAAAAAACACACACACACAAAGAAAACCAGAAGATAAATATATATTTTAGAAGAGAGTGTTCCACAGTATAATAGAGGGGCAAAGTTAATTCTATTATCTTTAGAACAGTCTGTCATGAGAGCCTAATCATCTCCCCCCTCACCTCCCAAGAAGGGCTAAGAAACAGATGATAAGGGCAAAGTCTGAGGTTGTCATGGAGGCAGAGGATCCATTAAAAGGGAGGGTCAGAAGAAAGATAGGGGAGAAACCTGCTCTTTGCATCTTCTCTTTTTTTCTTTGTTATTTTTTCTTTCTTTCCTTTTTTCTTTTTTTTCCCCTTTCTTTTTATACACTGGGCCAAGGATATTCTACCACTAAGCTACATTCCCTAGCCCTTTTTATTTTTTATTTTGAGACAAGTTCTTGCTAATTTGCTAATACGGCTGGCCTGGAATTTACGATTGATCCTTCTTCATCAGCCTCCTGAGTTGCTGGGATTACAAGCATGTGCCAGTGTACCCAACTTGACTATATCTTTTTCTTTGGAAAAAAAAATAGACTAAGATAGTTGGGGGATATCAGAAAATTCTTGAAAAAGATATCTACTAAACATAAAAAAAAAAGGAAATAATCCCAAATCACTTAAATACTCTTAAGTGGCAAAATTTCACTTATATCTGAGGAAATGCTTATTACCTTGTAGAGGGAAAAAAGACAAATAATGAGAAAATCATTCGGGCCACTGAACCACATGCCTAACCCTTTTTATTTTATTCTTTAATTTTTTTTTAGTTGTAAATGGGCACAATATCTTTATTTTATTCATTTATTTTTATGTGGTGATGAGGATCAAACCCAGTGCCTCATGTGTGCGAGGCAAGCGCTCTACCACTGAGCCACAAGCCCAGCCCACCTTTTTATTTTTTATATTGAGACAGGGTCTCACTAAACTGCTGAGGCTGGCTTTGAACTTGCAATCTTCCTGCCTCAGCCTACCGAATTGCTGGGATTACAGGCATGTGCCACCACGGCCAGCTAGAAAATCCCATTTGTTTAACAATATAAAAAGAAATTTTAACTGTGGGCAGTAGATTATTTTCATTATTGTCTTTGTCCTTTTAAAAAGAAAGTTTCCAAGTTTTCTTGGAACATATAATAAATTTGTAATAGGATTTTTAAAAGTTTTGTTTTTTAAAAAAGGGGAAATTTAGAATTTAAATTCCATCTAAAAGGATAAAACTTTGTTTTAAGTCCATTCCTGTTATAAGGTCATACCCCATCTGAAATACTGGATCTCCTTTGTGASGGAGGCACAGTGTAACCCTTTCCCCAGCTATTTCTGAAGAGACAGTTATTTGTATTTGTAGGGGCAACTCGTACTCATCTAATTCTGTCTGTTCCCTCAACCCACACAGGGTCCATGCTACCAAAGCAGCATAAACTTAGGAACTAATCTGTGTATCCAGGGGACACAGCCAGAGTTTCTATAGTCAAACGTTGGGCAAGCCAAAGGAACTCAATTTCTCACAGGTTCTTGAGAGCTAATATTTATTTCTGATGTATCTTTATTTCTGAACTTATACACTTGTAGAACACTTAGATTTTAAAAACATGTTTCAAAACTTTTAATAAATTTCCTTCTTGAMAGAAGAGCAGCAACACCCAGCACAATTTCAACACAACGGATTTCACAACGCAGACTGCTTACGGGGGAAGAGATTTTTCTCAGTTCTCAATAAATCCCTCAAGAAATCAAGATAAGACGACTTCAAAACCTAATCCTGAGATGAGTGCCTCACTCCTACCAAAACTGTACTGTAGAACTCCACCTCAGAAACGCTTCCTCTATTACGTAACTAGGTTAATCTGGCACAGGTGAAAATGTTGCAGCTACCAGTTTTTCAGGCTACAGTAATATGCTTAGAATTGAGTTAAATCATCTCCAGGTAAATTCACATGATGTTTGTGGGAAAGCACTATGTTCAAGTATTTTAAAAATGTACCAGGGAGCTACTTCATTATTGGTTAGAGATCAACATTTGATAAACTATGTATTACAGAGGAAAGAAGTGAGTTCCGCCGAAATTCTAACTGCAACTTCTCACTACAAGGACTACTGCAGCTTCAGCCTTGCGAGACCCACAGCTGAAGACACAGGTGTGGGTGGGAAAGACCGGGAGAAAGTGAGGGGCTAAAAAGCAGAAGAGCCTGGGGCGCACCTACTGGCTTTTGCTTTAGCAAGAAGCTTCTGGTTGGTGTTTGCAAAGCAAGCAGCAGGGTGGGAGGTGTCAGGATGCCTGCTCTGACTCACAGACAGGTGGGAAAGCAAGCTACAGGGCCAAAGTGCAGTATTCTCCTCCAAAGTACAAGCCTAGGGTGGCCAGGGGTTCTCACATGTTTGGTGCTACAGATGCCTACTGAGTGCTACAAAGAGATGCTGCCACCCATATGGAGAATTTCAACAAAGAACCTGCCCCTGTGTTATCAAGGGGCAGCAGAAATTACACCACTCAGCTGGCTTTTCCAGCCCTTACCAAGAGCTGAAACAGTTTTCAGAACTGAATGATTTCAGAAAAAGTTTGCCTTTCCACTGGAATGAAGAAGTTAAGTTAGGTTTGAWGGGCCTGGAAAAGGCAATATGTTCATTTTGAATGTTGGTGAAGTCCGCCCAGGAGAGACTTCAGTTCAGCCCAGATAATCTGTGTCACCTTGGAGTTGTTGACAGGCTGCACGTTTACAAAAGCAGAYGTGCTGAAGGCCCAGACTGTAAGCAAAACAGGCGGACTGTTCCYCTGGCCTTTCAGAAGAGTGCAGGAGATGTTGTTTACATAATCCTTAAAACTGGCCTCACGCTGTCTGAAACAAACTCCATCTCACACAAATTACACTATTCCCACAGAAGGTAGACTTTCCTCAAGAGTTCCTCCCCTCTTACAATAGGAAATGCACAGCTGGGAAAGTTTGTTTAGTAACTTTTGGGAGGAGGATACTGCATTTTTCAAAGAGACAGACGCTGATACAGACACACATAGATTAAAAACTTACCTCCTCAAAAGTCATAGACCAACTACCGTTTTCAATCATAGGTACAAAGACAATCGAAAAAAAAGGAATATCCAATGAAATCACACACCTACTAATACATACAGGAAATGACAGTAACAAAAGACACTTGTTAATGCTATTTTTTCTTAGAGTCGTATGCTCTAAGTTCCCGCTGCGAACATTCGATGGAATAAAGTATGCTAGAGGCAGCCAAGTGGCAAGTCTCAACCCAGGAAGGCTCTACTTGCAAACTCCTCCCTCCCCACACTGCTATTTGCAGCTCTTATGACTGATGAAGACGCTGGCTGCAGAAGTATGAGCAACTACAGGGTGAGCTGTGGATATTGTTATTAATGCTGGCAGGAGGAACKTCCCTCTATGACAAGGTCAGCAGCCTTGCAAAATAGTTCATCTTCAGGCAAAAGAATGAAATTGCTGAGCAGGGAAATCCAAAAGAAAAACTGATTCCAGTTCTCATTTGTTTCTGGAGGCTGAAGCCGGCATAAAGCAGTCCAAAGGAGGGTGAAATCATTTACTCCAAGATGAGAAACCAGAGAAATGTGAACTGGCAATCAGCAGAAAATAAACTAAGCGCTAGGGGAAAAAATGAYGGGGAAGGAGGTGGCTACATAAACCCTGGCTCAATATTTTGGGTGTGTTGTCTGCTGCTATGATGAATTCTTGGCTCATGCTTTTATAAAGACATATAAGGGTCAGGAAAAAATGTTTTTCTAAAAGACCCAGTACAACTTAATTAGCAACAACACACGCAATGCATCCATGCTTTCTTTTGGATACCTCTTTTAAAAGAGTTGATAATCATTTTTAAATTTTCAGCATACAATTACAAAGACAAATGTCCACAGATGAAATGTTCAAATGTCTATATTGCGTGTAAATGGAGATCTGAGGAGAAAATCTGGTATCTGAAACTGTTTAATGCTTTCACTTCTTTCTCATCACATCCAATTTTATCTTTCTGGTGGAGACTTTAAAAAATTTAAATGTCAAACTAAAAACAAAATCTTTTTGGTGATAACTGACAGTTGGCAGACCAGACTGCATTTCTCTTAGCATTAAAATAAAAAAAAAAAA